GCTCTTCAGCAATAAGGCCTTTAGCCTTTCGCTGGTTGTTCTTCATATTCTTATATTTCTCCTTCAGTTTTAAGTATTTATCATCTGTGGTCCTGAAGGAGGAAGGAGCTTTAGAAGATGGCATCTCAATCTTCTTGGATATGCATTCACCTGCAAAATGTTCGGGCCGGTGACAGTTGTAGCAGACAGCTGAAGCCTTGTCTATTCTTTCAGACATTGGCTTCTCCCTTAGGGATAGCTGAGGAGATCTACGGAATTTGCTCTTGTTGGCAAACCTCCTAAAAGACTTAGTTAGGAGTTCCAGGGACTCATCAAAATTTGATAAATCAGATTCTGGAATGTCCTCAGAAGAGTCAATCTCCGTGATGACCATGGGAGGTAGAGAAGAAACAAAAGGAGTAGAARTTTCAACTGAAGGGGATTCAGAGATTAAAGCTAAAGGAGAGCTTTTCATTTCCCTGTAATCTTTTACAAGATTTCTTTTCAGTTGACGAGATTGCTCATGGTTAAGCAGAATCACGTATAAAGACGAAAGAGAAAGAGAGGACATGTCATTTGACATCCTGAGACACATGGAAAAGGTGTCCCAAGACTCAGGAAGGCATTCTAGAAACTTAGTCAAAGTTTCAGAATTAGAATATTCTCTGCCGACAGTCCTAAGATCAATAAGAAGGCAGTTAAATCTTTGATGTACTTCAGACAACGTCTCAGACTTTCCACAGAGAAAGCTTTCATACTGTCGTACTAGATTTATCTTTCTAGTCTCCTGAACCTGAGAGGTTCCTTCATATTGGACACATAGAGTATCCCATACGGATTTAGAAGATTTGAGTTTCATCATTGAGTGATAGATCTCATCAGGAAGAGACATAGCTATTATAGACCGAGCACGTGTGTCTATAGCTATTTTCTTCTTGTCCTCATCGCTCCATTGATGTGGAAGCTTTGGAATCTGCCGTTTAGGAATCGCGGCAGTCGTAGCTGTTGCTGGAACAGCCGGAACAATAGCAAATGGAATATATGGTCCATTTTATATATAATGTGGAATTTCAGGATCCACACCTTCCAGAAAGAGGGACATCCGGTTCTTCCAGAGACAAAATTTGTCACGGACAAACCGGGGAGGTTTGGCAAGAGAGCCATTATCTTGTGTGTGTGTTTGTAATATGTAAAGCCATTTGAAAGCAGTAAGTTATCTAARRAGAGATAAATTAATACAGAGAAATAACAAAACACAAGGAAAGAAAGAAAACACTGCTCTGATACCACTTGTTGGTCTCGAAAGGGTCTACAAGATAAGAAACAGTTTGTAGAAGGGGGAGGGGGATGAATACAAACAAAATGTTTTCAAATTTAAAATATATATTGATAGAGAAGATCAATACAGATTTTACAAGACTGTTCGCGGAAAGATAAGGTAAAGAAAAACCTATCTAAACAATCTTTGGTTACACACGAAGCTATAGCAAACACAGAAAAGAGAATGCTATAATAGAGATCCTTTACTTAAGCTAGAGGATGCTTGAAGTAAGAATTAGGTTGGAGAGTGATGCGCGCACTCTGCAAAGAGAAGAAACACTTCTATTTATACCCAGTGCATTAAATGAACATTTAATGCAATATAGTAGGTTTAGAGTGCGTGTTAAGCCTTAAGAGGAAGGCTTGTCCTTTGCTACAGTGAATAGTACAAAAACACTATTCTTGAGCAGACATCCTTGCCTAAAGTTGGTGGACAAAGAGTCTATTAATCAGCTCCGTACCGTACTAACTTTTGCAAGGGTATGGGTTT